GAGGAGAGGAGAAGAGAAGAGAAGAGAAGAGAAGAGAAGAGAAGAGAAGAGAAGAGAAGAGAAGAGAAGAGAAGAGAAGAGAAGAGAATACACAAAGCTGTGTTTGTATTGTTGCAACCTATCCTTAACTCAATTGTCAGTCTGTTTCATATCTGGACTACTACTTGAGGAGACAAAAAAGGCTTACATAAAGGTTCGTGTAAGCCTTATATAAAAGCTATATATAAAGCCTTTATATAGATTTCATATCTTAGGGATTTTACGGCTCCAATTCAAACATCCTTCTTCATTAGGCTTATTGGCTGGGCTATTAAGAGGTTAAGTTCAGCAATAGTTTGTAGCCACAAGACACTCAGTATTTTGGGCATCTTCTACATGGATTAATTGAATTGGCACAATGGCAAAAGCCTTGAATAGGAATGAAGAAACTAATATATTTTGAAACAGCCTAACATTTTAAGCCTTTTCATTGCTGAATCTGCTCTGTGCTCTTGCAAAGACCTAACCCTGTGATTTAAAAAAGAATATTACACAACCATTCATATAATTTTAGTGCATTTGCCCATAAAATATGCGGTCTGATACATTTCACCTTAAATGAGCATTTTGTACTCATTTGATCCTATTAATGAATGTTTGCACACATTTTAATCTAAGATGTGCATGCTCATTTATGTTTTTGTGCGTTTTTTAGCTGATATCCCAGCATGAAAACTGAAGGAAACTGCTATATTCTTTCTGTTGATACAAATAGAAATCAAGTCAGATGGTTTAAGAATGCATACTGAACCAAGTCCACCCATATCCCAGAACTAATCCTGTCCCTATCCTGCAAAATGTTTGAAGTTGTTCAATACTAAGGATTCATTTTGGTCTAATCAAATATTTAAATTCCCTACTGTTTCTCTCCCCCCCCCCCAAAAGTAATCTTCATATACAAAAGCACAATGAGATTCCTTGTAAAAAGTTGACATCTGAACTTACCTTCTTCATTTTTTTTATTAGCCTGTTGGTCTAAGACTGCCACGCCTAATTTATTTAGCCATCTGAAATTTAAAATGGAGATACATTTGAATAGAATAGCAATAGCAATACTTATATACTGCTTCACGGTGCTTACACCCATCTCTAAGAGTGTTCTGACCCAGGCTTCCTTAGAAAGCAAGAAGCAAAGTCTTAGTCCCTGCAAAATCTCTTTTATTTACATGACTGTGAATTCCTTTCATTCACAGTTAGCAAGGTTTAGTAAACAGTATTTCAGAGGAATGTTTATCCACACACACCTTATCTCGTTTGCAGTGCTGCCAGATAACTAGTTTCCAAATGCACAGCAAGGCAAACCTGGCACAGAGTTTCTTAAAGTCACACGCAGAACTTGGCCAATCTTGGTTGGCCAACCAACCAAATGAATGAATTGTTTCCTGCAAAAGCCCACTCCCTGTTCATTCCTCTTTTGTTTCCTATGGGAGAGGCCAATCACCTCCAAGGTATGGCTTTACTCCTAANGCACCTAGTCATGCCAGCCACATGACCACAGAAACATCTTCAGACAGCGCTGGCTCTTTGGTTTTGAAATGGAGATGAGCACCGCCCCCTAGAGTTGGGAATGATTAGCACATATGTGCGAGGGGAACCTTTACTTTTACCCTTTTACTGTTTCCTCTAGCTTCCTTCCTAGCTCCCATCATCTCTAATCTTCTCTTCAAATGAAGATGCCATTTTTATGTTCCTTTCCTGATGCTCTGGGGGTCAGGCTGCATCATTTCCCAGTCCCTAATGTGTCTACTTGGTGTTTTTTTTTTTTTTTACTTTTTCTTCCCCAAGGAAAGAAAACATGGTGAAAGGAGAACAGAAAAAGAGAGCTACCCTTCCTAATGGTGCTCTTAAATACTTCTCCAAGGATCAACTCAAGGGAAGATCAGCAGGGACATTCAAGCACAACAGTAAAACAACCATAATGGTCCTTATTATTGGAGAAGGGAAAAGCAAAGCAAAATCAGAAACTTTGTGAAAGGGAATTCAGTGGGGAGTGGTATTCTCGACTGGGTAAGAAAGAAGGTAGCCCATTAGGATAAGGGGCATTGCAGTCCATAAAATCCATGATGTGCATCTGGCCTTTTTTTGTCTTTTAATTCTTTGAGAAATAAATCAATCCATTGTAAGGCAAGAGGCTTGTGTGATTATCCTTTAAACTTTTACACTAAATCCCACTGTGCAAGTTTTTTTTTTAAGCCAACAGGTTGCATCCCTTGATGTTTGATCAAAAGTCCATCATCTTGAATTTTTTATGCATTTTGCAATTATAAACTGCTTGGAGAGGATTACATGACTGGTAGTATAAAATGTTTAAAATAAATGATTCCTTAAAAGAAACAAAAAACCCTAGTGATTTGCTTAACATTTCTTTTGTCACATGACTTTAAACAGGATAAACAATTCACAACTCTTTCTACGGATTGCCTATCTTGGAAGCTATTTTTTAAACTATACAGGGTGACATTTGGACAAGCCATTTAGCAAATGGTAGCAAGTTAATTACTATAATTCATACCAAATCAGACAGCAGCAATTGATCTGAATATGGAGGGGGTGGTGTCTCTGCATTTATTTCTGGATCTTCATGCTCACTTTCACTATAGCATTCTGAAACAAGATTGCAACCATTAAAATGTGGAAGACATTCTATTTAATGTCCTGTAAAATAAAGCACATTTCATGATTACTTTAATTGAAAGCAGAACATATTGATTTCTGACCCTATCATTCAGAAAGGGAATTTTGAATGCAAGCAACTTTCTTGAAGAGCAACTTCTTGTTTTTCCTAAAAACCCACTTTCAGAATAGAATAAAATTAGGAATAGCAATAGCTATTCCGTTCTATTCTATTCTATTCTATTCTTTCCTAGAAAGAATAGAATAGAATAGAATAGAATAGAATAGAATAGAATAGAAT